AAGTTATATGAATAGTCGACTATTCGTAATGAGACATAATGATGAAATGAAAAGAACGAAAGTGAGAAAATTCATCCTTCTGTCGCTTCGTATACTTGACATTAAACGTATTCGTTCTATTCGAGTTCATTACGGCCCATCTCTAATCCTACTGGAGAGATATGAAAGAGCTGCGTCTCAGTACTGATTTTTGCGGCGCTTCGTGGAGCTGTGATGGAAGGACTAGAATGTTTCCTTAAGTCAAACGCTTCCTCCAACTCCATCAAAACACAATTTATTTCAAACTTATTCTCCCTCTAACCGTGATGTATCAAAAAAAGCTATTCGTTCAACTCAATCACTGAACTTTGATGAAAATGACGAAAACATGATATCAAACAACTTTTAATACCCGTAAATTAGAATTATTAACGATTCGACGATGATCCTTTTAATCAAACCCCAAATCATCTATGCACGACAAGTGTGTGCTGATTTTACATTTATAATCAAGTGTCAGATGAATGAGTTGTTCATAAATTTTCCAAATGTAATCGAATTTTCGGTGCTAATATTTCTAAATAATTTTCAGCATCATCTTGACTTTCGTTACTAGATACGACCAACCATCCATAACACGAATCAAAGCCCATGGGTGGTACCGTGATGGTATCCCCACCCTGTTTAAATATAACTAATTCTTTCATTCGTTTCTCTTGATACAATGATTTATCAACGTCAATTGATTTAACCAAACCATTTTCTAATGAATGAAAATTTATACTGGCTAGATATTGATCAAATGGACGAACAATCATATCTCCAATATCGTCACAGCTATTACCAGTAATTGGTATTTGAAGTGCTACATTTAATATCAGTTCAATTAAATTAATTCGATAACATTGTTGAACCATTACACATGTTTCAGCACCTCCAAGCCGCATATTTATTTCAATTGGCATAGTCAGTTCTTTACTGCATTTGGCCTCTAAATGAAGACAACCATTTTGAAGATCAAAACATTTAATTAAATGTTTCACGATTTCTAATGTTCTATATTGAATATCCAGAGGGAGACGACTTGGTATACATGAACCTGTTTCTTGCATGAATGTATCATTCAATGGACAGTTATTATCACTAATAGACAAAAATTTAATTTCGCCGTGTTGTAAAATAAGATCCACATCAATTTCATTACCATCAAAATATTCTTCGATAAATAAGTTCTTTTTCATTGAACTGGTAGCAGTTGAAAAAATGAGATCCCATTCTGTCAATGAATTGATTTTTGAGATAAAACATTTGCCAGCACCTACTCTTGGTTTCATAATAAATTTCCGATTGGGATTATTTCTTAAATGTGGATGCATTTTAAATTGTTGTTGTGTTTCACGACTTGTTGACTGGGTTTGTGTGAAAAATGGTACAGGAATGGATTCAACTGGAGAATGCTGTTCATTCCATTGTTGACAATATTGTCTCAATTTATATTTATCTTTAACATTCATAATTTGTTCCATTGTTGAACATGTTGTTGGTAAATGATAATGAAATGAGAGAAAATTAGTCAACACAACACAATCTTCATCGAATGTTAGAATAGCATTGGGTTGTTCTTTATGATGTGGAAAATATTCAGACAAATACTTTTGAATAGCCGAAACAGATTCATACGGTGTTGTTGATTGAAAATGAGGTACCACGATCCAGTGTTGAATCAATGACGGATATAACCACGTGGCAATTTCTTCATGTAAACAAAGTAAAGTTATTGTTTGACGTTGTTGTTGAATGAGTTGATGTAATTGTTTGAAAATGTTCAGACGTTTCAATGAACCATAGCCAACAACTAAGAGTAGTAGCTCGTTTGATTGTTTATAAACATTAGGAGACATGATGACCAATGCGAAAAAAAAGCTCCTCTCTTCTGTTCTTATTCGTTGTACTATTATTTTTCCGCACTCACTCTTAAACTTGAATCATCTCAAATTGAGTTATCACTATACACTCATTCGTTCCCTTTTTCATTCTATCTACCTTTGAGAGGAGTATAAACAGGGGTGTGCTATTAAATTTCAAAATCTCGCTCGCTCTCTATTTCTCGCCTTTTTTGTCTTTTTATGGCACGTGTTGACAATATGTTAAAACCTTGA